AAAGTAGAAATAATTTGATGAACAAAATAAAAGATAATAGCAAGTAGATCTTTTGCAAGTGGGAAGGGGACCAAAATGGAAGAAAAATAAACGGGGAGAAGAGAAAAGAATTAAGATATGTTATTTACATGTAGAACTCCCCATAATAAATGCAATCATTATGCACTGCAAATATGTAATAAATATTTTAATTTAAAAAAGAGTAAATTGATGTAATATAGTGCCATGTTAATAGAATAGTCACATGATCTTAGAAGACATATAAAAAGCATTTGACAAAATTCAATGCCCATTAATGATAAAATAGGAAAAAAAGGTAAGTTCCTCAATCTGTTGAAAATTGTCTACAGCATGTATCACACTGAATGTTTCCCCCTAAAATCAAGAACAAAGCAAGGCTGCTTTCATTACTTTCATTAACATTGTACTAGAGGTCCCAGCCAGTGCCATAAAGCAAGTTAAATGGAATCAAAATGGAAAAACATGAAAAGTGCTTTTCATGTTGGCATAATCCTATAATTCTGAAGTGCTAAGGAATCTACAAAAAATTAGTAGCAGATGAGTTTGACCAGGTCTTTAGATTCAAGGTCAGTATATGGAATTGAATCTTTCTGTACAGCAGCTATGAGTAATCGAAAAATATCAAGACTGAGGTAGCAGGGACTGTGTTGAATTCAAGACCAGCCTGAACTACATAGCAACACACTGTCTCAAAAAAGAGTAAAAAATAATATTAAAAACCAATATCCCCATGCCCCCCCCAGCAAAAAGAAACAATAGCAGGCCAGGGACTTAGCTCAGTGGTGCCGCTGCCTGCCTCGCAAGCACTAGGTGAGGAGTTTCATCCCCAGTAACGCAGGGGAAAAAGAAAAAAGAACATCAAAGAGAATAAAAACAATAGGGAATAATCTGTGAATAGAAAGTGTAAGATTATAAAACATCACTCAGAGAGATTAAAGGTCTAAATAAGGCACATAACATTTATGCTCACGATCTAAAAGACTCAGTATTGTAAGGTGCCAGTCTTCTCCCAGTGTATCCATATAGTTAATGTAATCCCTTTAGAATCCCAGACAGCTTTTTTTTTTTTTTTTTTTTTTTTTGGCTTTTGGTAGAAGTTGATAAACTAATTCTGAAACTTATATGGAAGCCAAAGGATGTAGAATATTAAAAACAAATTTAAAAAGAACAGAGTTGGAAGACTTACATTACTGGATCTGAAAATTTATTATAAAGCTGTAGTAATTAAAGATAGAAGGTATTGGCATGAGTATGAGATGGATGGAACAGAATAAAAATCTAGAAAGAAATCCTGTTTTGATACTCCTTTTGGCCAGGAGGATCACACTGGGAATTGAACCCAGAGCCTTTACTCTTTTTAAAATTTTTTGTTTTGAGACAAGATCTCTCTAAGTCAGTAAGTAGCTCAGGCTGGCCTGGAACTTGTGATCCTCCTGCCTCAGCTTACCACAGTGCTGGGATTCCAGGCATGTGCCACCATGCCCGGCTGATAGGTTAATGTTTAATAAAGATGCTACAGAAACTCAATGAAGCAATGGTGGTTTTTTTTCAATAAGTAGTGCAGTGACAATTGAATATCCACATATATAAAAATGAACTTAGACCTTTCACCAAAATCATTTAAAATAGATCATAAATATGTGTAAGAACTAAAACTGTAGATTTTGTAGAAGAAATTACTGAAGACCTTTGCCACATCTTGGAAACAAGACCTTAGAAAATATTTTCAAATCATACACACATGCACACAGAAACATGTATTGAGTATGTAAACAGCTCAAAGACCCAATTTAAAAATAACAAAAAGCTTGAGCAGACATTTTACCAAGGAAAGTAAATGAATAGCTAATGGACTCATGAAACGATGCTTAATACTATTAGTTACTAGAGAGGTACAAATTAAAATCACTAGAAGATATTTACTCCTAATACAATGGCTAAAATTAAAATGATTGACTATACCAAGTGTTAGCATGGGCATGGAGAAACTAGAATTTATATATTGCTGTTTGGTGCAGAAAATACAAAATGATTGAGTTTTTTAAAAAAATTAAATATATTCTTCCCATATGGACCAGCATTTTCACTGCTAGGTAGTTAAGAGAAGTAAAAACAAACACATACAAATACTTACAGCAACACTATTCACAATAGCCCCAAATCTGGAAAAAATCCACTTGGTGAATGGATAAACAATTGTGTTATATCTGTGCAATAGTTAATTTATACTAAAAACATGGAAGAGCCTCAGAAATATTATTCCCAATGAAAGAAATCAAGCACAAACATATTGTGTGATTCTGTTTATAAGAAATTTGTAGCCATCTGTAAAGATACAAAATAAAAAGAGCAGTGTTGCCTACTGTAGCAAATAGGAACAGATTTACTGCAAATAGGCTGCTGTGGTTTTTGTGTGGTTTGAGTATCCGCCAAGGTTTCATTCATGTCCTGAAGTTTAATCCCCAGTATGAGGTGTTCAGAGGGTGGAAATTAATCTGGTTGAGGTAGTTAGAGGGAGGGCCTTCGGGAGGGTATTCAGAGTCAGTAAAGTCCTAAGGGTAGGATCACCATGACCGAATCCCAGGGTCTTTACAAGGACCGGAAGGAAGATGAGAAGACGTATAGCTGCACGTGCTCCTCCTCTCTGGCCACGCAGTGCTCTGCCACCTCAGAGCTGCCAGAGGCAAGGCCATCACCAGGTGTCACTTCTAGACCTGACCCTCTTAGAAGGTGAGCCAAAATAAGCCTCTTCTCCTTACAAGGTTACCCAGCCAGTTACTTTATTATGGTAACGAGAAATGGACTGATCCACAGGCACAAAAGGACTTTTTAGGGTGATAGAAACACGCTAAAACCTGAGTAAGAAGGATTGTATGCTCCTTTATTTACTAACAATCTGTGAATTAATTTGCTACAACTGCATACCTAAAAGTGAGTGCATTTGTTAGTATATAAATGATACCTCAAGACAACTATTTTTAAAATCACACCAGTGGTAGGGAAAAGTAGGAAAAATAATATAGTACCCCAAAATTATTATACATATTCACAATGAAAATTGTCTTCTAAAATTTCTTGGTACATTTAAAGCAAACAATATAGTTATATTTATCATTGGGATCTTGTACCTTTACATGAAAGGTCTTGGTTCTTATTTTTCCCTGCACCCCGCCCTCCCTTCACCCCCTTCACCCTTCCCCATTTTTTCCTCTTTTCACATTTTTTTCTTTCCCCTCATTTCCTTTCCCCACCCCTTCCCACTTCCCCTTTAAGCCATTTTCTTCCTATCTCACACTATCAGTCATACCATTTGAGCCTTATTTACTCTAGATCTAACATTTTTAGTGCTGGTCAACTGAGTTATCCAAAATAAAACAAGCAAGAATATTAGCGGTTACTACTGTTTAACATGTTGTTTGCAATACATTTGGTAAGATGAGTAGAACAGCCTAATATTCTTTTGAATTTTCTTTGATTTTTAAAAATTAATATTAGAAAAAAAACGAAAGCCATTGTTCATAAATGACATAGTTTTAGTCCTAGAAAATAAAAAAGCATGGTCAAACTCAGAAGCTACTTCAAGTGTATTTCTTATGTGCAGGGTGGGTATATGATTGATGAACCTTCTTATTAAAGGTGACATTTTGAGTACATGCATTAATCTCTGTTGGTTCTCTTCCTGAAATTACTGTAAAATTACAGCAAATAAGATAAAAGATACCCGCCCATGAAGACCAAGAAAATGAGAGAGAAGATACTAATGTGTTGCCGTTGGCTTGAACTAATGGTGGTACCTGCGTGACTGTCCCATTGGACAGCTTGTACCACCAGTGGTAGAAATGGATCTAATCACTTTTTACCAACAAGATTAATAAAAAGTCACCCCGTGGAGCAGTCGTGAATGTATCACCAGTGGTTCAAATCGCCCGGCAGCGAGACATGAATTAACAGCCCTGACACAAATGTGAAGGGTGACAGTAGGGAAGGCCGGGATTACAGCTGTGCAGAAGAACAGCCAGTCTCTGTGGCTCAGAAAGATAGAGGACTCTGGGAAGGGGGTTTCCAGGGATTCTTAAATAAGTTGTATTTATTCAAATTCAGATAATTTTCTAGCATTTATTTAAATTTGCATAATGACAAATATTTTGACTGATCTCGTACAGTAAATGAATATAAAATCTTTCTTGCAGGGAACATTTTTCGCAGTGAAGATACTGTACTGATTATTCATTTATCAAAAAATTAATATAAGCCATGTGTGATGATGCTGTAATCTCAGCAGTCTGTGAGGCTGAGGCATCAGTATCATCAAGTTCAAACACAGCCTGGGCAATTTAATGACTTAGCAAGACTCTGTCTCAAAAAATGAAAAGAAAAGGGAGTTGGGAATGTAATTCAGTGTGAAGGCACTGGGTTCAATACCCAGGATTGCATTTTTAAACACACACACACACACACACACACACACACACACACACAATTACGTATGCATACTGTGAGGATATATGTTTTGGGTGTAGAAGTTAGGATATGGCTGTAAGTGGTCTGAAAGCTATATTCTCATTTACTCTATGAAGAAATCAGTAGAAGAATTGATAGCAATGAATCACTAAGTTAAGAAATAACACACTAAGCATATTAGAAGTATAGAAGTAAATTACAAAGAAACAAAAACGAGATGAAAGTTACTTGTTTCTGAGGAGCAAAATTAGGAGGAAGCATGGCTCAGAGGACTATTGTTTTTCATTTATTGATCCTTTGGCAGTTTGATTATTTATAAAACTGATAAAGTATATGCATATATTATTTGATAAGACCAAAAACTGAGATAAAGTAAATTAATGACAAGTTCTTTAAGGAGCACTAGGATGAAAATGTCTCCAATAAAAGGAAGTCAGACTTAAAAAGAAATGTAAGTTTATTTTTTGTATTTAAAAATTTTTAATGTGTTTATTTTTATTTTGTTTGTTTTATCCTAGGGCTTCAAAAATAAACCAAAAAAGATGGGTCATATAAAACCAGACTTAATTGATGTTGACTTAATCAGAGGTGAGTTCTAAAACTGGCTTCTTACACTTACTGATATGTTATTTCATAGAAGTACTGCAGATTAGATATCTTCCCTATGTAATGGTGCACTTAGTAAAATTCTTCCTTCATTATTCAGGCTTTGAGACCTTTTCTCTTTGCCTCATTATTATATGGTTATGTAAATTCTACGGTTTTCATATAAAGGGAAAGGGGGTGAACTTGGGAGACTTGTTTAATTTAGAGAAATATATTGTGAGCCTGAGTATTTTGAGCTCCTGTCCTAGGGATTGAGACAAGAAGTCGTTACATTTCATACCTGTCTCAGAGGGTTCTTTTTAACTGCACAGGTCATGTGTTCATTTTTGCTCTCACTTGTTTTGAAAGTAGTATTGCAAGTGGCCATCAGTATGGTGTATGTAGAGGTGCCTTATTTTGTTTTCTTGTATTTAAAGGCTCAACATTTGCCAAAGCCAAACCTGAAATTCCATGGACATCTCTGACTCGGAAGGGGCTTGTTCGAGTTGTGTTTTTTCCATTGTTCAGCAGTTGGTGGATTCAAGTTACCTCTTTAAGAATCTTTGTTTGGCTGCTACTGCTTTACCTCATGCAAGGTAATTGGAAGAGTTGACAGTTTTATTGTGTTGCTTTTGTTTTCAGATAATAGAAACTCACTGTTCCATTTACCCTTTCATTTAATGGTTTAAAGTACAAAGAAACAAAGGAATGTACACTATTTGGACTTAGGTGCTCCAAGAGAGCAAGCATGACATCTAACTCCTCTCTGAAATGTCTTTCCATCTCTCTCGCTGGCCACCTTAGTCAGACTTTTCTTCTGTCTAATCTTTGCTTGTTGCATTACCTCAAGATTGGAGCCTGGGTTCTTGTCTGTTCTTTCGGTACTCTTAGCAAGCCCCATTTAAAAAAAGCATAAACGGACATGTTGCCAATTCCCAAATTTTATATCTGCAGGCCAGATTTCTCTGCTGCATTTCAGACTTGTAAATCTCTTTGCTTGTCATTCCCATGTGGAGATTTAATAGGCATCTTGAACTTAGTCATATCAGAGTCGTCTTAATCATATCTTGATTTTTTTGTACAAACTCATTCCTCTTAGATCTTTTGCATTTCATTAACTGCTTTCATCCATCACCCATTTGCAAGTGAAAGTAAGTCTTCCTGCTGTATCCTACCATAGTTGTCACACCCCGTCCGCCGTCCTGAACCTATCTGACTCTTTACCTCATTCTCTGCTGCCTTCAGCACAGTCCCCAGAACTAGTACTTGTAGCCCAGGCCACTGAAGTAGTGTCTGCTTCACCTTCTTTCCACCCACTGTTCTTCTCACAACAATTGGAGAAACCCTTTAAAATGGGAATTGTACCGCGTGACTTTCTCCCTAAAAGCTCTTCCTTTCAGTTGACTTTGGAGTAAACTCCCGAAGTCCTTGCTGTGGCTTGTAACTGCCTGTGTCGTCTGTCTGCTCTCAGTCATCATCGCTTTCCATTTCTTAGCCCTGTACCTCCATGCTCTCTAGGTACAATGCCTTGCGTTAGGTTTTTCAGGTAGAGTTTTTCTTTTTTGAAATACTCAAAGGGATTTTCAAGTGGCTTGTTTTTCCCCAGATTTAAGACCTCAGCTCCGATGTCACTTGTATAAAGAGGCCAGCGCTATCTCCACTTCCATATCGTCCTGCCGCTCCACTCACTGTCACACAGGCAGTTTTGCTGTCAGTTTCGCACATCACTATCGGATGTGTTTTTTCTCTTCTCCCCTTCCTCCTCTCCATTATCCTCCTCATTTTCCTCTTCCTCTTCTTTCTCCACTTCTCAGCCATTGTCCTCCTCCTCTTTTTTTTTTTTTTTTTTTTTTTTTTTTTTTTTTTTTTTTTTTTTTGTTTTTACC